TCCTAGTGAGACATGGGCTGTGATTGCCCCAATATTAGATACTAGAAAGGGTCGAATAGAAATTGAAAGCGACTACTGTCGAAAACAACCTGATAGAGATTCTTGTTCCCAACTATGCTGTGCGATGCTGTGAAAACCAAAATAGGTGGTAGTTAACAGCAGGCAAAACATGATAGAAAGGACCGTGCTAGATGAAAAATAACCACCTATGTAAACAACAAGCTGGAAAGCAAAGTCTTCTGTGGATTGATCAGAATCGCAGGCTAAGGTAGACCTGATCCTTGTGACTCAGTGAGACAATGAAGAGTAAGACGAGGGAGGGGGGGGGGACTTACGTTGTACATGTGAGGAGTTCGTTTTATGAATGAGGACCAAAAACAGGCTTGTACGAACGATTTCAAACCGGCTATCATGCGCTTTTCCAAGGTTTCTTCGTACATAATCCGGGTAGCTACATGGGTGATAGCAGCGATGACGGGTCTGCTAGGAAACGAGCAGATTAGCCTCGAGTTTTTGCTCCAAAAGATCCTAGATAATCGCTAATTGGACGAGGGAATCTTTACTTACTTTACGTAATCTAGATTTACTAACTCCACGTTAGAAAACTCTGTCCTTTTGGGCACCTACTTGCCCAATCACAATCAATATAAACCGAAAAACAAAAACAAAAAAAAGGGAAAGGTTTATATGAAAATTTGACCGAAGTACCATACACTGCAGGTTTACTGACTAGACTGTTCAGTGCAGAATTTAAATCGGTTCTATGTAAATTTTTGGGAAAACAAGCCGCTTGCGTTTTTTCGCTGCAGCAGCGAATAACTCATTTTTGCACTGCTATAACGGTAAATTTTGTAAAAATTAGCCGCCATATTAATTTTGCCAAGAAATTACCTAATTTTCACTACAGATTCTTGCCAAATTAGAGGATACAATTGCCAAAATGATGAGATTGGATGAATTAGGCTTTGTTTCCTCCTACTTTTTTTCACGCAAGTGACTTGAGATATACATCAAATGAGGAGCAAGAAACGTTCGAGCACTCGCTGTGCAACGAAAAAAATCCGGAATGTCTGTTCCACCAGGGGTTTGCCTTCGCCAAAACCTGCGGCATGCTGTGCAAATAAAACCCGCACAGCAAACAGCTGTTAACGCGGGTAGCAACCAGGGGCACGTGAAGTGATCGTGTGATTTTTGCAAATCTTGGTAGAATGGAAAACTCATACAATTTTGGAGACTGTTACAGTCTCGGTGAGACCGTCAACTGTGCCCCTACGTGACGGCAACATTGCGCGGAAACAGATGCTTGTGAATGCCAATAGCGATTCCCGCGCAAAAAAAAGCTCTATAGAGCGCAATGCTACTGTTTACGCGCAAATGTTGTCGCGCAAGAACATTCAATAAACAGTCATTATTAGGCCATAGTATAAAGCTATTCAATAGTTACATAGTGTGAGACTGCACACCGCGTACTTTGCGACTACTTATTGCTAAAAGTCAGTGAAATGCAGTTTCAGAGGGAACAATTATAGACGACTGAGTACTTACATAAGTTCAAACCCATTCAAGCCCGAGAACAGGAGAAAACAACGAGAAATTCCTAAATATCGGAAAAGCGGCGAAGTCGTAAAATGCCGTGCGTGTTGTGCAATGCACATATTTATACCTTGACCATTTCGAGCACAGCTTGCGACACCAACAAAAAAGTCTAAATAAGGCAAATTCGGGAGCAACGAGATTTGAAACGCGCAGAGGACACAGGGTGTGTATCACATATCAGATACGAACTTTAAGTAATGCATGGTACTCATTTACGTTTCTGAAAAAAAAGAAACACAAGAATAGAAATATTGAAAGCACATCTCCAAGCAGTCATGGAAAATGTGCAATTGCACACATCAACGTTTGGAACTCGCTCAACTATAGCTGTGCGTACGAGCCGAATTTGTGAAACACGGGTCGGAGGAGTCAGCTGATACTTCACACTGTTGTAAATATGTCAGAACTGTGCGACTCGTGCAAAACTGACAGACTCTGCAGGTTCTTTCACCTGCAGGTGTCAATTTATGACTGCCTTATCATTACGATGTTTCCGCACTTTCTTATCGTGAACACTACTAATTTTTACGATTTTCGGGTCGTAAGATTTAGAATTTTGACATATTGTTTTCGTCTTTGCGTCTCACATGTCTTCACGATGCTTTTGAATGTGAAAACAAACAGCAGATGGCAATCTCTAGTATCCATTAGCCACCAGGCCGAATCAATAGCGAAGCACGTAGCAAATGGTATTATGCAGAATTACAAGCTGGTTATGCTTTACGATTATGCCCGTACATGGATAGTATAACAGGATTGTTCCGTATGTACAAGCAAAAAGGGATAGCAGCTGCAAAAACTAATTCCCATACGTTTAATGCATCAAAACAGCGACTAATTGCTGCAAATTGAATGAAAAATTGCAGGAAAAAGCTCAAAAAGGACATGAAGAACCGTTCTAGTAAAAAAGATTCAATAAATTTGATAAAATGCTCATGAACATCAAAATCAAGGTCAATGACCCGATGGCAGCGAATGTCAGCTGATGTGCGGGTCGACATCGATAGTGTTGCAGACGGCGAGAGCCCCGCGCTCGGTTACCCCGACACGCGCGCCCCGCTCTCCTCCCCTCCCCCCCCCCCCCCTCTCTACTTCCCCGTATCGAAGATCGTACCGCACAGAGCAAACCCGGCTCCCCGTTCGTCTCAGTTCTTGAAGAAAACAACGGTCTGAGAGGTGGTTGAAGTCGGAACAGGTTAGCATTACGAAAGTTCCGCTGAGAAAGGAGATTTTCGAAGGTAACGCAATCATGTTTTGTTCTTGAACTCTTGTTTTATTTCCCACATTCTGGAATGCTGGGGTTCAAACTGGTTTTATCGCGAAGATGAAAATCTGCTTTTTAGGCCTTTTCTAAGATCACTAGACGTCAACCTCTTGTCTCAGAGGCTCCCACAATCCCTCATGGTATCGGATTACTAACAGCATCTAGTCGCCAGCTCCCAAAATCTATCGTCCTCGGGCCTTTTCACGATCCGATCCCGGATATGAAGCGCAAAAAGCACAAGAACCAGAATTCCATTCCTAGGGGCTTTTCTGGCGGACGTGATACAGTGACTATAGTATGAATTTTCAGAGAAATTCACTTGGTAGAGAAGACTGAAAGAGCTCCGAAAAAACCATTGCCATTGAGCGGCAGATGAGGTCAAAAGAAAATTAAATTCAGCAACTCATCATCCAAAATTGAATAAAATCAATAAATCAAATGAATATGGTGATTAGCTATGTTGATGGAAGGTGTGCTAGAAATTGATTTGCCTTTAGGATGGCTTGAGACCTCAGTAAAATTGTGCTTGCTTGCTTAGCATTTCATAGATACTCAAGTTTCAGCTTTCAAGGTAAATGAAGTGCCACACAAATCCGTACCGTAATCTTACAGCAAAGCGATTGCCGAGTGATGTGCTGTAATTCACTTGATACTCACTCTCAAGGCGCTAAAAACAAAGTGAAAAAAGAGAATTTCAACCTGTTCATCTTTGGTCTTCATTCCAACCCCTCCCTCCTTTCTTATCTTTGGAAATGCTATATTCAGTACCGAAATATCTTACCTATCGTGATCTTTAGAATGGAGTAGCCGTTGTTTACTATGATTCAAGCAGCTGCAGTTTTGTTGAGAAACCTTGCAACTGTCCATTCAACCTGACACTAATATGACGAGTGGCAACTGCTCGGGTGATTCCTCGTATCCTCTCTTTCCTCGATCGGACTAGGATAGAAGATAGCAACTAACCCCTGAATTCACCTACATTGCCTTCAAGTTTTTTAGGAATGAGTATCCGACAGAAGAATTAGTATTCTCCAAAACAAACCCGTCGTTTCATGAATAATATATAAATCGAAGAACCACATACTGTGGACTAAAGAAGTAACTTGCAGCCCTCAAACTTGCTCTGTGTGAGATCTCACCATAGGTAAAGATATATGCATATGGGAGTTTGGAATTACTCTTGGTATATGCATCATTAATTAATGATTCAAGGGGGCAGGAAGCACGATAGCGGAAGTAGTTCTGAAAAGTAAGATCAAGTGCTCGTCAATGGCGCTGCAATGCATGTTAGGTATATCTTAACATGAACAGCAAAGGAAAGGAGGGGGGGGGGGGGAAGGGGTAAGAAGGGAGCATATTTTTGAAGGCGGTTCACATAAACGACCAAGCGTAACTCTCCATATTTGTGAATCAAATCATTTCTTAACTTTTGGAGTCGAAGTAGCTGTGGAAAAAGTTTTATTTATGAAATGAAAGCGTAGAAATAGACAAGCCCCACTGCTCCCCCCATTTTAGAGGTTTCAGGGTCAGGCCTCGGCACGAGCTGGCACCAGGAAATTTTCAAAACGAAGTCCCCTTTGACTTTCCCAAAATTTTACGAAGTTTCCTTAGACTCTCAACGATATCCCCTCCAAAAACCTGAAAAATTCCCCAAAATCCCCCCAAAAACGAAACGTCGACTAAAAAAAAAGGTCGCCAATTTTTGACGACTCTTCGCCCACAAAAACGAAACCCCCTTTGCTTTTTGCCCCAAAAACGATATCCAGCATGCCCCGTGCCAGCTGGTGCCAGGCCCTGTTCAGGGTTATAAACGTGCAAAAGCTCTGTAACTTTACATCAGAACATTCACAGCTTCTTCACCTGCCTCCTCCATTCTCAAAGAAAATATTCTGATATCACTACCGCTTGAAAAATAGAATGGTTTCACACTGATGCTGAGCAATAATAGCAATAACTAATGATCAGAGGGTCAAATAATGGCCAAAACTCATGTTTCCTGATTGCGCACGAAAAACTTTGTTACTATTTAATTTTTTGACATAACATATACTATTGTTTTAATGCAAACACAACACTCCAGTAGTAGACTGAAAGTTAAATTCGAGAAATACTCCCCGGATGGAAACTAACTGAACGGTGTTCCTGTTTTCAAGTTGTTTTATTCAACAGGTACATTACAGACGCACTTTGTATATGTAAACAATCAACAAACAACAAAATCAACAAATTTGCACAACAATAACGACTGAAAAACGTTTCTGGCGTAACACTTTCGGGACAGTTTATCTCTTCTTCGTTTTGAGGCGGTAAGCAACACGGGCTTTTTGGAAGCCAGAATCCTCAGGTCTAAAAGAAAATTTTTGAAGAGAGTAGGAACATGTTCCAAAGAAAAGCATTTTTCCAGACAAATCTTAGTAGAAATCTTCCAGTGTGATAAATGATTGGGATTTAGCTCGATCATTGCTCATAAGGCAGCTCCTACCCCTGAACGACAGATTTAACTATACCCCAACCCAAACCGTATTTCTCCTGAACGGTAGGAAGTACATTCAGGAGTGAAGTTCTGTAGGAGGTACATTCAGGGATGAAGTTCTAAGTCGGAATTCTCAATCACGAATCATTCGAAAAACATATAGAAAAATCAAGCACTTATAGTCTATCGTACCATGACAAAGACTATGGCTCAAGAAGCTTACCCATGCCGCGCTTTCTTAACAGATCGCTTTCCAATAGCAGTCAAAGCCGATGTGAATGTCGACTTCTTTCCAGCCTCTTTCTTCTTCTTCTTAATGGGAATGGTGGCCTGGAAAACCAAATTATATTCCGATTCAACCATATGTAGCGATGACTAGTGCTTTACTTTAAAGGCAGCGTACACCCAAAATTTGAGTTGACAAATTTCCTAGATCTTTCTACACCGTGTATATACTGGGCCCAGAAGAAGACCAACTGCGTTGGTCCGGTCTCCCAATGTTGCTTCTGAGCGGAGAAAACCCCCCTCAATTTTCTTTCGCTCCGCCTCCTCCGGACGAATCCATAACAGCGTAAGCTGCAACTGCAGTTGCAGTTGCTGTTGCAGCAACTGTTGCATTTGTTTTGGGTGTACGCTGCCTTTAAGGTGATCAGTTTGTCATACATTGTCAACAGCAAAAACTTCTCTAAGGCACTTTGGAAGGAAGCTCCAAAGCAATCTCAGCGATATTTCCAAGAGTAGCCCAATTCAGATGAGAATATTCCGGCGGATTTCGGATTTTTTGGTGCTGGCGTAGAGCAACAACTGCTGCGGATAGTTTTGCGCAATACTAAGCTGCTGCGGGTAAACATCAACATTTGCAAAGGATGAAGTTGAGCATCACTATCTACTGCAGCTAACGTCATTATCTGTTCTGGCGGTGTGGGCAACACTATCCACTGCAGCTAAGACATTATCTGTGGTGGTGAGCAACACTTGCAATGCAGCTAAAGTTATCTGTTGTGGACGGTGTTGAGCAACACTATGCACTGCAGCTGAGACATTATCTGTGGTGTTGAGCAACACTTGCAATGCAGCTAACGTTAACTGTTGTGGACGGTGTTGGGCAACACTATCTACTGCAGCTAACGTTATCTGTTGTGGACGGTGTTGGGCAACACTATCTACTCCAGCTGAGACATTATCTAATGTGGATAGTGTTGAGCAACACTTGCAATGCAGCTAACGTTAACTGTTGTGGACGGTGTTGGGCAACACTATCTCTCCAGCTGAGACATTATCTAATGTGGATAGTGTTGAGCAACACTATGCACTGCAGCTAAGACATTATCTGTGGTGTTGAGCAACACTTGCAATGCAGCTAACGTTATCTATTGTGGACGGTGTTGGGCAACACTATGCACTGCAGCTAAGACATTATCTGTGGTGTTGAGCAACACTTGCAATGCGGCTAACGTTAACTGTTTTGGACGGTGTTGGGCAACACTATGTAGTGCAGCTAACGTTATCTGTTGTGGACGGTGTTGGGCAACACTATCTCTCCAGCTGAGACATTATCTAATGTGGATAGTGTTGAGCAACACTATGCACTGCAGCTAAGACATTATCTGTGGTGTTGAACAACACTTGCAATGCAGCTAACGTTATCTATTGTGGACGGTGTTGGGCAACACTTCCACTGCAGCTAAGACATTATCTGTGGTGGTGAGCAACACTTGCAATGCAGCTAACGTTATCTGTTGTGGGCGGCGTTGGGCAACACTATCCACTGCAGCTAAGACTTTATCTGCAACATTCTGAAACATTCTCTATTGTAGACAGTGTTGAGCAACTATCCACTGCAGCAAACCTTATCTGTGTGGGCGGTGTTGAAACGTACTACCTACTACGGCAACGTCATTATTTGTTCTAAACATTAAAAGCAGTGTCTCACCAAAATTTAGTTGCCGAGATTTTTGTATTTTGCAAGCCTGTCGGACTCTGTCTAGCACTGTACGGGCCTAAAATCGCAAGAAGTTCCGAAAAACCCCGTTTTCTAGAGGCCCCGCGGAAGCAACGTGGACAAGTTGTACCTTCCAACTTCAGCGTCGCCACAGTGGCAGCAACAGAGGGGAGTTGACTGCCAAGTGGAGAGACATGTTCAAACGCGTAAGGGGGAGACCGAAGGAGTCGTCCGCTCGTACCAAATCGCTCTCCGCGCACCATTTTGAGCGAATTTTTCTCAGCGTGGAGGAGGTCAAATTGAGTGGGACTCAATGGCCTAATTAGAGGTCCCTATAATAGAATATGTGAAGATCCGCGCGATCTCAACTTTGGTGAGACATTGCCTTTAAGCAACACTATCTACTGCAGCTTAGACACTATCTGTTCTGGATGGTGTTGAGCAACATTACGCTGCTAGTTGAGCACCAGCATTTGCCGCGGACAGTGTTGCAATACAATGCTGCTGCATCTAAATATCAATATTTGCCATGGATGCTGTTTAGCAACACTATCATGCTAAGAAATTATCTGTCATAGATGGTGTTGAGTAACATTACGCGGCTGCAGTTGAGCACCAGAATTTGCTGCGGACAATATAGAGCGATGCTATGCTGTGCAGCTAAGCATCAACACTTGTCATGGATGGTGAGAGCTACTCCATTCTGCTACAGTCGAGCACCAACATTTGCCGTTGTTGTAGGTACACCACAATATTGCAATAGTGTAAGCAACATTACCATATTTTAGCAGTCACTTTTGACGAAATTTACCAAGAAATGAAGTATTTTTGTGTAAACTCGACCTCAATCGCGGGTATATCCGATAGCTTCATTGATCGTTTCTTAGCCATGCCAACTTTTTTCTAAACAGAAGTTTGATCCAGCGAAATTATTTGCACGAGCTATTGTGGTTCAAACCTTAGCGGACGTCTCAATCACAGCTCGCAATCGTGTCATCTTGCCTCGCCGAGCTCGTTTGGCTTCACGTGCTTGATACGCCATTTCATGTTCAATACGGATTTGTTCCGGCTATAAGAAAAAGATTAGGTTCGCGAAAGGACAAGCACTGAAAAGTTTTTACGGTCTTTTCGGATTCCTTTTTCTTCATCTCTTCTTTTCTCATCAATTTTCTTTCTGCTCGTCTGCGTTCTCGCTCTGGAAAGATTGATGAACATATAAGCAATTTTTTTCTTGCTCTTTTCAAAAGCAGCGCCCGTACTTGAGCTAATACTATCAACTACGTCAGTGTCCATGTCGCAGCTTGATCACTTGTGACCCAGTTCAAACTCCAAACCCGACCGTGTGCTTCCGCGGACCTATCAGCGTTCGCAGTATGATAGTCACGGTTTGGGCAGGGATTCAAAGTTGAAATTTCTCGACCAAGACTGAATCACCTGAGTCAAATTCCACATAACAAGGAAAGGCACCCAGATTGCTTTTATGCTCCTTTCAGCCATGAAACACTGCGACTTTCGTGATTATACAATTACCCCATGACTTGCGTGATTATTCAACCTCTCCCCTCTCTCCCGCAGAACTCAGAATTTAGACAACAGTGAGTGAATCACAAAATCCTGCACTTCGTTTATCTACTGTTCATCTTCGCCGGTGAATTCTTTATCAAACGCCCCCCCCCCCCCACACATCACATCAATTCAACAATTCAACGCACCTCCAACTGTTGACTTTTTGAACCAGACTCGTCCCTCACGCTCCGTTGTTCCTGTTTCCAGTTTTTCTTCCGTTTTTCTCACAGCAGCCTCTGCTAAACGTAGCTCTTTCTCCTCTTTTTCTTCAAGATCAATTTGTCTTATGGAGTCCTCAAGCGAGTCTATTCGTTGTCGATAAGCCTCCACAACTTCTGCGCGAAGAAAAGAGACATTATTTAACATAAGAAGAAACAAAGAATAAACTCCTTTTACCTGGTGCAACTTGTCGCTGTTTCAGACTTCGATTCGGATTTGTGTTGATGATTTCTTTCAAAAGCTTTCTTTCCTCCTCTCCAACAAGAGAGATTGATCTGAAATGCAAGATCATTGACTCAAATTGCCACGAAACATTTTTTTTTAAATATACCGTCCAACTCGACCGGCTCGAGCAGTCCGGCCAACTCTATGTATGTACTGCTTGATAGTTTTGGGCATGTGCATATTTATGACCTAAACGATCTATTATGACTCTCAATCACTTCAAAGTGTAAACTATACAAAAAACAACTGACTGTTTGTATTCCTTCAATGTCAAGTCCTCTAGAAGCAAGATCTGTTGAGACCAACACATCTATCTAAAACAATAATTGTAGAACAAGACACAAACGCTTGACTGATGATTATTTCCCAATTTCAGATTGCAATTATCCTGATAGTGAAATTAAACCTCAGGATGACACAAAATCTCATTTTTTCTGCTGGATGCAAATTCATATCCACATTACAAGTTCATATACATCATCACAACCATGTTTCTACAGCTATTTGTTGGCCGCAAAATTCAAAGGGTTAAATGCCATAAAAAGCAACCACCAAGAGAGTAACGATCATTTGTCATTATGAAATAGATGGCTCGATGCATGAACCAACGAAAATAAAAGCAACTCTCCTATGGAAAGAGACAGTCCAAAGCATTTATTTGGCTCAAAAGGTGGGATGGCAAGAAACTCTCTAGAAATAATCAACATGTAAAATCTTACAGGGACATCCCTTCTTCCTTTGGTTTCTCAAAAGACAAATGAACATCGCGATCTTGCCTCTTGATGTTGACGAATGCACAAGGGAACTACGCCTTTTTCATTAATAGAAAGATCGCAAACTGGTTAAATCAAACGACTGATTTTGTAAGATAATTTATATTTAGTAGAATAATTTTTTCAAAAAAGGCTTAAAGGGTGCTGGGACCAGATCAAACGCAAAAAAGACGGAAGGTTTCTAAATTTACTGACTCTCAACTGAGCAAGGTCCTAACGAGAGAAGAATTTCTGCTGCGATGCACGTTAGTATACTGCTACAGACACTCCAAAAGAAGAATATATGCCAATTTTTTCTATAACGAGCCCAAAGATTTATACTCTAAGGCCTGCACGAACCCAAGCTAAGTTCAAATAAAAACTTGTACAAGCATTACTAATTTTTCCTCTAATTATGTTTCAAAAATTTCAAACAATTCACCTCTCTCCTCTTGAACTTTGACAATGCTTCAATACGTTGTGCTTGTGAGAGGGAAGAGTGCATTTGTCCAACCTAGAAGTCATATTGTAATTCAGAGATTACCATGGAAATCTGCACATACCTTTAAGCCGAGGAGCCCAAGTAGGATATGCATGCGTTGACAATCTTTCTTCATTTTCACAAAAACGATAGTATTTTCCTAAAAAAGCATCATTCAAACTCATTCTAGAGCAGTGTTCAGACAAATTTGGGCATCTGTACTTATTGAACCTGATTGGGAGAACTAATCTGAAAAACTCAAGCAGCAGCTAATTTTATATTCGACCAAGGAAAATTATCTCAAACGCTTGCCCAATACCGTACTTTTTTGAGCGGACCAAGCACGTTCGAGTGCTGTAGAAAGTACAGACTGGACTAAAAATAACTTGGCCAAAAATGGATTATGTGAGCTGTAGTTTATTAGTATGGAAAGTCCAAAAACCCAGACTTGCTAGAGACTGCAAAACTCAGCAAAAAAATTTCATAGGTTACCTGAAAAGTACGAGTAACAAGTGCAGCAATGATTGCCTCACGGTCACCTTCACGTCCGGCTCGTATCCGGATAAATTCTTGCCTGAATGTAGTAATCCTTCGATTTGACATGCATAAACTAAGAATGATCGAATTCACCTAAGTTTCAGCGCAGTTTCCGTATTCTCGTTGATGAAAATTCTCACGGGTTTCTTCAGCGACATCGAGGCCAATTCATCAATCTGAACACTCAACTGAGTAAAAACGCGGAAAGTGCAGACTGTCAATTACATTCCATCATCATTGAACTGAACTAAAAAACTGGACAAACTCTCACTTGATCTGTCATCGTGGCAGAAAACAGCAGGGTCTGCCTATTTGGCGCACATAACCGGATGAGTTCGTTCATTTGGTCCTTGAATGCTTCTTCAAGCATTCGATCAGCTTCGTCCAAAACAAGAACCTAAGGTGAAAGTGTTAAGTAAAGTTAAGAAAAGTGCACAATAAGAATTACGTAGTTTTTGCCTTTTCTTCACAATACTACACAAAAAAAAAAGAGGAGATTGTACATTGTGTTGATAGCAAAGCATTACTTTACTCAAGTCCGGAAAAAAACTTCGTAAATTACCGGTTCCGAATTATTGATGGAAGTTTGGCAAAGTGAAAAATGGTAAGAAAGGGAAAAGAATCTAAAAAAGTTTATGAACTACCAGCTTTGAACCTTGTGAAATATATAAATGGAACTTGGGCAGAATAAGAAATTCAATCAATAAGACGGAAAACCACATGTTTTCTGATAGAAAAACGAATTTACCTCAATGTTACTAAGCGAAAACGATGGCGAATTATGTAGATGATCGATAAGTCGTCCTGGAGTTGCAACGACCACATCTGGACTGGAACGTAAAGCCGCTTCTTGTGTTTTTAAGTCTAATCCACCTGAAAGAGAAAATTACACCTAGCGAGATGGTTGCATCAGTAAAGCTAGAAAAAAACAGGTGATGAAATTGCACTTGAGATTCAATTAAGACGGATCGAAATTCCATAGACAGAACGTCTCACTTTCTTTTTTTCTCTCTCAAAAAAAAAACTGCAGACTTGATCAAGCCAAAGCAAAAATTTCAACTGGCATAACTCATAGCTAGCGCTTGGTTTTGGCCAGGACAATGCAAAACTAACCACCTCAAATGAAAGCGCACAATCTAATGAGATGGATAAGAGATTGCTGCGAGAAAAGACATTTTTAGACGAATTCTTCAGTTTGAAAAGGAAAATCGGAGAACATTCCTTAGATGCCGATTTAAGCGAGCTTGTAGTTTTTTGTATCTGCATATAAACAGCAGTTGGACATTGGAGATTTACTTTATTCATATGATATAACTCTTTGGGCTTAGCTCCCAAACACGTCTTTACAAATCCATAGTACTCAAACCCTGCCGCAAAATAGTCGCGAAACTACCGTAACCCTACTCGTATGACTACAGTAATCAAAAATGTTACTTCCGCAATTAGCACCTTCAGTAGCCTCCACAGTCTCACAAGTTCTGCAGTCTTCCACATACACTACCATTTTGAGTGAACACCTATGATTAAAATGTCAAAAATAAGAAAAAGATCAAGTCGGTCAGCATAGACCTAGTAGCCTCCGCCGATAATTGAGTCTGGGTTGAGGGAAAGGATTTCGACAAGTGTGTTGAATTTACGAAGAAAGAAGACGATCTGAAGTGTACAAGGGACCAAATTTTTATCCGTTTATCTTTTTATTTTCAGTGTACCTACGTAGACAGGCAAAAATAAATAACAAAAAATACGTAGATAAAACAGCCTGAGCGCGCCGAAAATCAAAACTCAAGCTTTTGAGACAAGAAACTTTTCGACCAGCCTGTCTGGCAGGAAGGAGATGCAGGAAAGTGACGGGACAGAAATAGATGGATGGTTCACGTGGACAGAGTGGCATCGAAGATCAAAGCTTCAACAGTTCAACTTTCAATCTCAGGGAATTCTGTAAAGCAACCCAAGGCAATCAGGTCCATGCAAAGCTATGATTATTGGTACTTTCCGCATTAGAGCTGCACATGGTATATACGTGACTGTGGGTAGCTTATTTTCTTTTACTTTTGCTGTAAGTTTTGCCACATTATAGGAATGTCAGGATTTTGTTTACATAGCGCGCAAGCAAAGTGGCAAGAAGTCTTTGTTAATCAAAAGTTAAACAAGGAAGAACCCACACCAAGACGAGTCCCCACCACTAGGGACAGCACAGCCATGTGGATGCTCAGCAAAAAAAAAGTCTTGCGCTTCAGCCGGAGCGCGTCAATTCTCTACAGACAGTGCAGAAACCTGTATTGCACCGGGGAGGAGAACACAGTCGACGAGACGAAAGTGAAAATAGGCCGACACGGGGCGTGGCGAGCACGTCTTGCGTTGCTTGCGTTGTCCGCAACCAGTCGCGAACAGTCAGCTCATCCTGGATATCATCTATCAGCTACGCTGTAAGGACAGCTAGCCAACACACCTACTATATACTTTTACGCGGATTACTGTATTCTTACTGTATTTGATCTACAGAAGCAGACAAAATGACGATCGAAAAGCGACAACGAGTTATGCTCGTGCTATGCCTGATATTTGGCATATGGCATATGGGCACACAATGGACAACTACTTTATTGTCTTTTCTACAATGGGATACTGTTGAAGTGATGACTATAGTTGATCTAGGCTATATTCAAGCATTTGGCAGTGTTTGTAATGCTATTGGAGCTCTAGCTTTCGGACAGGTACGTTATACTACACCTCACATCCCTCCTTTTATTTCCTCATTCTATTCAGATGGCAGATTCTGCCGGTCCTAAAGCTATGTTCATGTTATCCTGCTTATTTACTGCCATTTATTATTCGGGAATTTCTATCGCCAAGTCATGGTATGGATTTTTTTTCCTCCAGGTTTGTTGACAAAATTTTCGTCACGTGTTGAATTTTCTCACACTTCTTATTTCAAGATTCTCCGTTTTGGTTACCAGTTAGACAGCACTGCAGAGATGTACTTGGCTACGGTAACTACAGAGAGAGAAAGGACAGGAGCTCTGATGAGACTTACATTCCCTCAGGTAAATAAATCAGAATCTTATCTTTTTAAGCAATTCTTTTCTTTTGACTCAAATAAAAGCGAAAATTGATTTTTGGTTCTGGCACTCATAACCTTCACAGTTTGGATTTCGATCAAAACAAAACTTTGCGTATCTCTCATAGAAAGCCCAGCAGATGCGATCCACAGATAGCTAGAATCGCCCAGACGAAAAAAGTCACCATAGCAAGTATTTTTGATCGATGGTCGCGACTATGCTTCTCTCAGATCCCCTTAGCCATCACGCTCGTAAAAAACTGCTTTCTGCGCCAGCAGACCAGACCAAATCAGGTTTTTTCCCGAGCTAAGAGGGCTTGACGCAGCAGTGAAAACTACTCTATAAACAAACTGGTCAGTATAGAGTATATTTTCCTGAATATGCGACGAAAATCCTATTCAAAGTAGTTAGATTTGCAAAAGGCGATTGTCACACGAACACAAACACACACCCAAAGAGCAGCACTATGTCAACAAATCGAAACGAATCTATCGAACTCTATTTCAGGCGTTGGCCATGTTCTTCGGACCAATTGTTGGCTCAAAAATCGCCGCATACACTTCACTTCGAATTTCACAATTCATATGCGGTGTAGCACTTCTGGCTACATTATTACCAGTGCTCATCTTCCTTCTACCAACTACTCATTCGATCCCTCGTCTGGCTACAGCACGTCTACGACCACAAGATTATTGGCCAATGGTTACGAAAAATACCGCTTTGAAAGAAGGCTTAGTCCTCCGAGCTATCGTGGTCTCATCATACGTTTGCTTCGAAATGATTTCGAGAAATTTCCTGCTACGTTCTTACATGAGGGACACCAACGATTCGGCCATTGTACTCTTAGTCATGGCCTTTTCTCTGCTCGGAGTGCAATTCGTTGTGTTGCCGATTCTGCAAAGGAAAGCAAGTCCGAGAACGTTGCTGCAAATTGCTATGAGCGGATTGATACTTTGCTATTTCGCCGTTTCTTTCACCACAAATTTCGAACAACTTCTCGTCATTATTGCCATACAAACGGGTGCTTATGCCGTCGCTTATGCCGAGTCTTCCACACAAATCACTAGGTGGGTAAAACCTTCATTTCAAAAACGTTTTCGCAAAATCGATTACCCAAGTTCATCCTAAAACTTTTCAGTGCCGTCGAAATCACCGACCTTGGCAAGGCAACAGGACTTGCGTCAACCGTTCAGTGGATCTCCCACTTTGTTTTACCTATCTACGCTTCACACCTTGTCGAAAATTATCACTTTACCTATGCATTTTACACCTCTACTCTTCTTTCCATTATCGGACTCGTCTATGTGTCCATATTTGCAAAGAACACCAACAACAGGTTAGGATCTCTGCTGCCGAGTCTTACTGTAACTTATTGATTCCACTGCTGCTGTGTATAATAAATATTCAATTTTGCATATACAGCAAAATAAGCATTTATAGGCAATAACCACTATGCCTTACAATTGTAAACTTTAGTCATCTAAAACCACACAAGACCACCTCTGATCCCTCTTAGGCCCCCTACTTTTTCCTACCAACCTCCTACACCTTCTCATCGCAATTCGCTTACTTCCTACGCATTCTGCTCCAGTGATCAGATCTTACAGATCCAAATCCAGAAAGGACCATGTCTGATCTCTCCCAGCTCCCCCCACTCTCTCCTACCAAATCTCCACACCTTCCCAATGCAATTCTACTTCCCACGCATTTCGCAATGTCTCGTCCAAAATTTCTCAAAATGGAGAAATCGATTTCACACATCGGTCACTGATTCCAAACGAGATGCGCCGCCACCGGCCACTGCTGCATGGCCGCTCAGAATCGGCAAGAAGCCGGTTTGCGAACGGGAAACCTAAGTCTCAGCCAAGCACCCGGACCGCTAACGCTCTCAGCAGATCTGACAACACTCTCGTGTATACATCCGGTAACATGAGATTATTGTCACTGACGTTCTTGCGAAAAATCCTCAATAAAAAGTCAAAAACTAACATTTGCAACCACAACCGTTTCAGCCACTCAAAAAAGCCATAAAAAGCTCTTTTGAAATGGGAAAGGGAAGATACACTTCTCATTAGCTGCGCTGCATAAAATCGATGGCATTATCTGTAGTGTCTTGAATATCATTTCAAGAAATGCCATCAAAATGTTGTCAATTCATGCACGATTCTTTAGGAATAATAACACATTTTCTCTATCGATTTGTAAGCAAATAGAGAGAATCTCGGCGCCGATGTTCCAAAAATAACGAACATCGTAAAAACCAGTTCTACAAACACGCGCATTTTAGGCACAGAAATTCGACAAACACAGTGTACTTCAAAAAAGCGCTAACAGGTCGATGAACCAGTAATATTTCGAAGTTGTAAGTGAGGGATAGGGATAAGGTTACACATACTTCATGAGCTCTGCTAATCGCACTGAAGAAATCATGGATAAAGATCTTCAAGTAACAGAAAACTAGAATCTTCTCCAGAAAAAGAACTCAGATCTCAATTTCACAGGTCCGGAAAAATATAAATTCCTGAGCTTATTTTTAGGAATAAAAAGCCATCATTTGCGCGACTTAAATCATCGAAGCTTGATAGACACTCATATTTATGAGTATTAGAAGGTCGTAAAAGTACTGTCGTTAATCCGAAGCATTTTAATGTGGCTTTAGCTCGCATTCATTGGCCATTTCCCGGAAATATATCTAGCAAAGCTATGATAAATTTGCAACCAAAGCCGCTTCTGCTATCTTGTCGTGCTTTACCGAAAGTGTCTGAGTGGGACTAATTATAGAAAGCAAAGATATATACGAACTTCATATACAATTCTCAGACCTCTAAAAACCCACGATTACTATGACCACAATATGGGCAATAGTGGTATATTTTCAGACAAAAAAAATTTACGTCGATCAAACTTATCTCAAAATTCAAGCATATCCCATAAAAAACGACATTGTAAATTTTTGGTTTTTCACGGGCAGATTTCGCAAAACGAAAACATTTTGCTCAGCAGTATCCAGGTAATGCATGAAAAGACCTGCTGGTGCAAGAGCATATATCAATTTATGATCAAACTTGAATCTTTTTCTGGTGGGAAATGTAATGTTCTTTGCCATCTGCGCTCTATAATAATGACCATGCAAAAAACAAGACGATGTACATATATTGTTAACTCAAAAAAAACCTAGCATTCATAGCTTATCAAACTCTCCCGAAGGACGCTGTAACAGTGATCTAAACAGGCTACTTTGTGACGCATGCTTGGGCTACCACGCGCCGTGCGCTCTCACACATCATGACAATCACAAACAGTGCCGAACTTATCATAGGGACCAGCTTTGCGGCAGTCAGTCTCTAAAAAGTGATTTATTTGGAGGCAGTGTGCAAGCAGATCTGAATAACTGGAGTTCCTTTGTAAAAACGGTTTGGAATGCGGTAAATCAAGTCACTGTCCAGCAACAGCTCACTGATTTATTTGTGATCGAGAAACTGTGTAGCCCAGAGTGCTTTCTTCCTAGATAGTGGCGGTCCGAGGGGGAGGGGCGGGGGCGGGTTGGGGGCGCGCGCGGTGCGAAATTTTTAAAAATCACTAATGGTTATAAAAATGTGCACGTGACTTGTTTATACTTGTAGATATTTGAAATAATTTTCCATTCTTTTTAATTCAAATTAACCCTGTAAAAAATTTTTTCGGGGGCATGGGTCCACAAAAATTTTGGAAAGCATCCCAAAAATTTTTTCGGAGTGCGATTTTTGTCGCTCCCCCTCCCCCTGTCCGAAATCCTGGGACCGCCATTGGTACTAGAGTATGCTGACTGGCCTGCTCGGTTAGTAAGGGCTGTTGAGTTCGGAGCAGGATCAAGCAAGGGGTGTGGCACACGATCGCTGGTTACGACCCCCCCCCCCCCCGTGATTGCTGTCTTAATAAGACCCCCCCCCCTGAACTATATACCTAAGATAGCATTACCAGAGTTGAGAAAGAGGTCAGGCACAAGTCTTTCGAAAACAACCCCCCCCCCCCCTCCCATGAAAGCCCTCAAACGACCCCTTCTTCCTCCTCTTAACCTCTGGACATCAAAGTGTGACATTCTGGAGGACACCAGCTTTTTCTAGAGAGTTTTCGGATTTCTGAGAGCTGTACGCCCGATTTTCTGTGAATGCACTTTACAATCACACGTGATTTGACGGCATTTTGATCTGAATGGGCATATTGAAAGGGTCATAATTTTCTTATGGGTGGGGCGTTCGGCTCCAAATTTCCAGTGTAGCAAGAAGAAGCTATGTGCTCAATAATCATGCCAGCAATGGAGCGCTTTCTGGATTCTGAAGGCAAAGGGGGTGCGGCAGCCGCAGCTTTTAAGGGGGTGTGCCGCAACCCATTAACTTACAGGGTGTCCCAAAAAGATGTGCACACTGTTTGATTGTTAATAACTTTCTTGCTTTCATGTCTTTTGCCGAGCTTGAGGTACCATTCTGTAGAGCGAGGATAAACTTAGATTTACAGTATGGAGGGACTTACCAGCCGCTTTTTACTGTAGAATTACGGTAGGAATTTCGAGGAGGATTTTCAGCAATGGAAAGCTGTATTTTGCCTAAGAAAAAAGCCAAATAAGCCAGAAACTCTTGAACTGGGTTAATCATAGTCGCTGATTCTAAATATGAAAACTGCACGTCAGTACAATGTTTCTTTCATGAGTTAATATAGATTTAGGGTAACAACTGATTTTCCCGTGTTCAGCAGAAATGTGAATACGCCATCAAGAAAGCTCGAAAAACTGATGGAAAGTTATGTAGTGAAATCAGCACGCCTAAAAACCTTGCTACATAATTTTTTAGATTTTTTGAAATTATTTCATCAAAAGGCTTATCTCACAGTGATGCTGTATGCTGAAAGTTCATACCGTAATCCTACAGTAGCAAAAAGAGATTGGAGTTTCGCTTAATACTATAAATCTAAGTTTATCCTCGCTCTACAAAATGATATTTCAAGCTCGGCAAAAGACATGAAAGCAAGAGAGTTATTAACGATCAAACAGTGTGCACATCTTTTTAGGACACTCTGTATATCAAAAAAACATTTTTAGCGGACAGTATTTATATGAATCGATAGCCTAAACCTTGTAGATTCCATAGCGCGATTGTTTGGAGCCTGATTCGTCTTCTCAGCTATGAGTAATATTTGGTGAAAGCACAGCGATCAAAAGCGAAAAATGGGAAAAACGAGATTTTGGTTGGCTTCTAATTCCACAGTTTGCAGGTCTTCTGGAGCGGGATTCCTGAGGTGGACAAAAAAGGAGTAGTGCTTTGTCTTGAGTGCAAAAACGGATAACTAATTCGCCTTTGAAACAAAGTTAACCATGTTGGAATTTGACCACTTCATTTAGGTAGCCTAGTATCTTGAATCTTCAGAATTCGATCACACTTTGTCTACAGGGGTTAATTGACATGCTAATTATGGATATGATACAAATATCATGTTATCACTATTATCAGATTACCCAACTATGGCCCCCTCCCCTTTTGACTCTTCAATACGACCCCCCCCCCCCCCAGGTGTGGCGTGCCGCACCCCACGCTTAACCCTGGTTCGGAGTCAACTTCCCTCGCCAGCTTCTTAGCACTTTTTCGAACACGGAATTTGCTTTCCGGATTCCGGATCAAGTTCGTCATTAGGGATCAATCTGCCTTTCTGCGCACTTGGGCGTGACCAAAATAACGGGATCTCAAACATTCATTTCTCTCGAATTCCGCCAACAAAAGCGAAGCGATAGAGTTGCGAGTTGTTTTTCATTCGTCTACTGAGGGTTCTAGGTCCAAGACTGGAATGGTTTCGGTACTCGAAAGTGTCGAAATTTTTTTACGGACGAAGGAGATACACCAGTAGCGCCAGTGGACCCAACAGACCAGTTTTAACTCAATCAGATATCCCAGAACTTGCGTCTCAGCAACCAAAAAATCTTATAATTACACTTGAACGCTAGAAGACCGCACTCACTATTACGATTGGCTTCGCATATAACATTCGAGGGTAGAGGTAAAAATGCTCTATACCATTTTGACTAAATGTTACACACTTGTAGAAGTATGCAGCAGATCTCGTGGCTGACAGAAAGGGGAACGGTCAGGAGTCACGATCGGCGCGAATTTTTCGCGAAGCGGTGCCGCAAGCGATGTCAGCAAAACAGAAGCCAGCACTCCTGGCGCAGTCTTACTTATGACACGAGCCATGTATCTGCCCCCACCCCCCACCACCCTAGACTGGCGCCGTGCCACTTTAGCACTGGGCACTTTGTGGGGTACAAAATTTAGACGCGACGTTCGCGGCGAAGCGGCGCGGCGCGCGGCGTGACTCCTGACATGGAGCCGACAAAAATTACTACTGTTTCGCAGAAGATCACGTCAATTCCATTTTTCACTAAAAAAGTCATCTCATTCTCTTTCTAGTCATATGTAACCCACCAAAGACCATCAATGCGAGTAACTTCTGACTGCTGCATTTACGATTTTAAACGGCCGTTGATTGGTGTACTACGCTGCATCACAAACAATGTGAGAAACAAGACAATCTCCGAAATAAACAGGACTCTCACATGGATATCGGAACTAAAATCTCAAATACTTATTCGATAGAAAAGGGCAAATAAATCATTATTCTCTTTCGCCGGACCAGCTGCTTATTACAGAATGTAGGACACAATACGATTCGCATTAGACCCGCAAAAGAACAGCCGATCCTCAATTGCAGAAGAAAAAATGACTCGATTGTCGAACATGCTGCGCAACAAGAGTTGCGACGAAAGAAGTTCTCTAGATAGGAGAAGTGCAAGCGATGAGATCACTTGTCACTAATACCTTCCGCAATTCTTTATCATATTTTTTTGGAACGCATCGCTGAAACAAACAAAAGATCTTGAAACTTGAATCTGAGAAATTTCGTTAGCGAGAATTCGGAGCCAAAAAGCAGATGGATGGTGAAAAGGCAAGAACACAGGAATAAAATAGACTAGGTAGTAGGACAATCCTCTTTGTTTCCCTCATCACTAAAATCAATTGAACCGAGAAAAATCGCTAAGGTGGACGGACTATCTTTCAACATTTCGAATGCAAGACAAAAAAAAGAGATACTTGATAATAAGCATAAAGCAGTGGCGGTCCGAGGAAGGAGGGGGGGGGGGGGGGGAGGAGAGGGGTACTGCAAGTAGAAGAGCATTCCAAAAATTTTTCGGAAGGCGCGGCTAACGTCACACTCATTCATTCGAAAAAGCTGATGTTCCTTCTCTCTCCCTCCCCTGCCTCGGAACGAAATTTGGCCGGTCACTGGAATAAAGGAGGATGAAGGATTCAGCGAACGTCAGACAAAGGCAACTTTGAATGAGAACAGCTGCGCTTTGAAAAACGAGGACTGGAAGGAATGAAGACGTCAAAAACTATATGGAACTGTCGTACACATTAGGAAATGGTTAATTCATGACTATGCTGTAGAATGAAACACCTCACCTGCACATAAACACACCTCGATCTGGCAGTACGTGGATAGTTTTCGAAATACCTAGAATTTCTTCATCTCAGCCTCATGCCAAGACAGTATGATCCAAATTACCTGGAAAACTTGAATGGCAAGCTCTCTAGTCGGTACCAACACCAGAATTCGTGTGCATGAACGAGCATTTGATCGATATAAAAGTCGTTCAAGGATGGGTAATACAAATGCAGCTGTCTTTCCAGTTCCTGTAGCCGCGCATGCGCATATGTCTTTACCCGCCAGTGCAACAGGTATGCAAGCGCTTTGTATAGGAGTAGGTTCGGTGTAGCCAGCAGCAGCTATCGCCTGGAATACAACTTGTTGAAAAATTGGATGGCGTGAATGAACGTCAAAGTCTTGACCTTCAACATTGGTCGTGACAAATTCATTTGTTCAAAAGTGATAGAATCTGATACGTCCATGGCTTCGTCGAAAAAGTCATCTTGCTTTTGTGTACTTCTTCGACCAGTCTTCTTCTTCTCGCGTAACCTATCTGAGCATCATACTCTTGTTTTCAACGCATATACGAATGAATTCAAAAATTATATGGATTCAGTTTATGAGTTTATATAACAACTTTGTTGATTAATGGATATGATTGGCATTGAGAAGGCCGTAAGTAAAAACGCATTTAGCGGACTGACTGCGTGCTGGCGTTCCTTCCTTACAGGAACTCACTCAAAACAGACCTAATTTCAAATTCTAGCCAACGAAAAAGTCAACGTAAAGTAGACATGTGCACAACGAACCTTTGGCATCTAATGCTCCGAGCTGTTCAACATTCTCATCGTCGTGTATCTCCTCAATTTCTACATCTTTGGCTGTATTCTTTGTTTTACGTATAGCGGCAATCTTCTCATCAAGAGTGGACTGCGCCTCTTTCCGCAAATATCTAAAAACATATTAAGAAAAAAGACCTATTCAAAGTCAAAGAGAACTGCGATGATATATTCTAGAAAACGTTTGAAAAAAAAAACTAGGACTACTTTCAAGTGCATAGCAGCTGAAACAGCTCACGAAATTTGCATCGAAAATAATCTTCTTATATATAAAGCTGAATGTCTGTTTGTATGTACATATGTATGTATGTCTGTCTGCCTGTCTGTATGTACGTATGTTCCGAATAGAAATTTCCATTCCTCAACCAATCCGGACCAAACTTGGCACACATACACTTCGGGCCCCGGCGGGTGTCACCACACCACATTACACCCCCCTGCCAAATTCCAGCCCCCTAGCTCAAATTTTGCAAAAAATCGATAACATTGACATCGATCGATAACGAAAAGTGGACTGTGACACCCGCCGGGGCCCGAAGTGTATGTGTGCCAAGTTTGGTCCGGATTGGTTGAGGAATGGAAATTTCTATTCGGAACATACGGCGGAGCCGGGTAAGCCAGCTAGTGTGAAAATAATCGAAACCAAAAACTGAATCCACTTCTTCAGAGCTGCATCATCGCGATCAATCTTGTCTTCAGCGCTACATTCAAATAAGAAGTCGGCGGCAAATTCGTTTGCAGCTCCTGCAACTTTCTTCTTCTTCTTGACTGACAGCGCCTGAAACGATCCGAATAACTAATTAGGAGAGCTGTTTTCCTTTTATTCCTAGTATTGTCAAATCGTCGACCGGAGCGGTCGTAAATAGAGAAGGCGATCCTGAATCGCGGCTAAACGCTATACCGGTACGAAGCTCTAATGTGCAAGTTTTCGTAACATTTCAACCGCGCCGCGCGTGCTCCTAAGCGGCCAGTCCGTACGATTTGACTCGACAGTACTTGATGAAGCAACTTTGAAAATTCCTCCAAACGTAGATGATTATATCTTAAACAAGCGCATCAGTGACGACCGTTTTCGATGGTATTATGTGCCTCCCCCTCCCTTCCACCTACCCTGCCGCACCTGTGTACACTGGTGGAGAATGCCGAATAAACCGATTCTTCCACTCTGCCTGCTACCGTGTTAATCCTCAATGAACCACCAAACGTAAGCTTCTTGACCCTGGCATAATACTACCCAAGAGTCTCAAAACTCCTACTAGTACTCGAGTCTGTAGCGGCCGTGGCCGCTAGTCAAGGAAAAATCATCAATGAGAGGCCTTTATGTACGGTGTAATTAAGAAAACCACATCAGATGCATCCAATTGTAGAAAAAATGGAATAAATGATCGAAGTGCGTCATGTCGATTTTGATCTCTCGATATTGCCCTCACATCGAGAAAAGTGCGAAACACACATTTGGGCATTGCCAATGCTATATGCATGACCGCGATCGCCAATACAGCAATCTTCAATATCCATGACTATCAATATTTGTGCTGTTATTGAAGAGCTCGACGACTGCGATGTGTAAACTCTGATGCACTTCCTCAAGCCCTGCCTGGATGTCATCGACGATCGTCTAAGGGCCGCATGCACTAACCTCCCCGCTGGGGAGGGGATCGCAGCTCAAAAAAAAGCTTTATATTTCGAAACTTCAGATACTTGGATTTCACGTTGTGTACCTATCCGTAAGTATTCCTACTACCCTTCACTATGAACATGTTGAAGAGGAGCGAGAAGTTGTATGAACCGCATTTTCCAGCTTTTGTTTGATCCCTGATGATCCCCGGCGCTTCTCTTTAAAGTCATTTTTCTTTCTCCGAAGTTAACGAAAACTTTCCAAACCTGTACTGAACATTTAACACAACAGTGCTAAGGATGTTGCTGATGAGAACAAATGAGTTTTTGAAAAGTCGAATTTTTCGATAAACGTCAAATCTCGCGACCTGTGGATCATCGAAAATTTCATGACTTCAAAACATCATTTGTTCTTATCACGAACATGCTTAGCACTGTCGGGTTGGATAATCTGCACAACTTTGGAGTTTCGTTAACTTCGGAGAAAGAAAAATGACTCTAAAGAAAAGTGCCGGGGATCATCAGGGATCATACAAAAGCTGGAAAATGCGGTTCGTACAGCTTCTCGCTCCTCTTCAACATGTTCATAGTGAAGGGTAGTAGGAATACTTACGGATAGGTACACAACGTGAAATCCAGGTATCTGGAGTTTCAAAATATAAAGCTTTCTTTTAAGCTGCTATCCCCTCCCCGCGGGGATGTTAGTGCATGCGGCTAAGTCGTCTGATTTTTTAGAAGCGGTGCTAGCCCTGCTGCTGGATCCCACCCAGCCAAAAGCGAACGCATTTTGCAGTTTCGATGGAAATCGCCAACATATATTAGGAAGGTGCATGCGCTTCCCCGAAGCCGTGTTGCGCACAATATGAACCACCAATCTCGGACTATGTTTAAATTGCCTCAAGTCCGTTGCATGAGGACAATTGCAGGATAAATTGCAGTAGTTGTGGCCTCGGCTGGAATTCGCTGATATGTGGTCGTCGGAACGCTTCACGCGTGGAGCAAGCAGACTACGCACCTGAGATGCCGACGCCTCCTTCTGTAATTCTCCCATAACCCGTGCCCGATATACCCTAATTGCAACGCTTCAACCTGTTTCGGAAAGCAAACCTTAAACCGTTCAATTCTCTCAGGCAATACGAAGCCCGGTAAAGGGATCTTTGATCGCGAAGTGTAGTGGCGTGTTTGGGCTGGCGGATTTCAGAAAAAAATCCCCTGCGCCTTGTACTCGTGAAATTAGGGTAGTTTATTTTGTCGCCGCCACGCCCCATCATCACTCAGTCGTCGCCACGCCCTCTCCACTTCCCGGCAACCGCATTTTCTTGTTTTCATTTCTATTCGAATGGTTTCTCTGCTTATATATGACAGCATTTAGACACTGAAAGTGACTGAGCCTCAGCTCTCAGCTCAGTCACTTTCAATGTCTGAGGCTGAGGTGATGTCTTTTTGTATGAACCTTCTGCTTCTGTGGGCACAAATACCGCAGTCAAATCCGTCGCCACGATTTTATAAACGACCTATAGCAGAGTTCGTGCGCGTCACACGTCGCCACTGGGGATGCACGATATTAAGTTCGTCAGTGAGTGTCGCAATAATTCTTGTCGGAAAGAAATAGACGTTGATTTTTCGAATAAAAAGTGGTGTGAACCACCCACTCCAAGAACATTTTCACAGCCTATAACTTCGTAGATAAGCGCCGTGTTCGCGTTCGCTCACTAATATTGCTGTTGCGCCTTCGTCCAGCAGTAGACTCTATACCATATGAAACCGTCCGGTGCCACTTAATGTGTTATAAGGTTTGCATGATACGGTGTACCTCAATATCTTCTGCATCATTATCATCCTCGCTCTCATCTACTTCAATCTCATCGTCGCTTTCGACAGCAGCTGGATACAGATTGACCATCTAAATGGTATGAAAAACATGCATGTCAGCCTATGATAGGTGCTATGAGAGCTTGTACCGATGAATGAAAGCATAACATATGGCTAAACCACTAAAAGACGACAAATACTGGCTTGACATTTAGAATTTTTATCAGCAATATTCACACAACAAGGACAATGCACAGAGAATTTGACAGATAACTCAGTTACGTCACTGTACCATTGCTATGAGACAGATAAATTTATAAGAGGGAAGGGGGAGGGAATCTATTCAAAGAGCTAAATGCTCAACCTTGAACATTTGAAACATAGAATCTGCATCTGTGTCATTTCATAGGAATACTTATCCTGGCCAAAAGAACACGCAGTATGGGAGAGCAAAGGACATGCGCGATTTCGCGCGGCCGTGGCGATAACTTCTATGACAACCAGATAACCAGAATGTGTGATTTCCTCCAGGTAGAAGGAAGAAGAGACGACAAGTTTTTTCAACCGGTCCTGCCGGTAAGAGAAACAACGTCAAAAGTTGAAACGATAGTAAAACGTCATAGGCGATGTCTGCATTTATTTCCCCAAATTTGGTAAAGGTATAAAACGACCAAATTATGTTCAACATGTGTGAATGAGAAAAACGTGTTTCTCAGACAGGCTAACGCAGGAAACTGGGTTTCTCGACACAATCCAGAAACAATGTAAGAAAAGAGCAGAACAGTCAGATACCAAGCAACATTTGTTCAAAAAGCAGTGTATGCTATAAAGTGATGTGGGTTCTGTGTGCAACGCTTGAACTTTGTGGTAGTTGAAAGAGGTAAAACAAGAAGCATCCCTCAGGAAAGACAAATCACCTTTTACGGCCGATAAACTTCGAAATTGGAATCATCCACACAAGTTGACGAGAACTTCCTTGATACTGGTGGCGGTGTGGCATTCTAAAAAACTACAGTTTAACATAACAGACATTTAACAAGTGTAAAACTGACCGTATCCATAGCTTCAATGACAAATGGACTTTGTGCAGAGGCTGGCGGTTGAACCGGTCGATTATTATTCATGATGGGAGGATACCCAATATTGAAAACTACCCGACTGGTGACAAACTTGTCCATTCCCGTCGAAGCAAAGGCAAACGCCACTATGCGATCATACTGAGCGACTTGCTGATCTGGACAGCAATCTCGTAGCAATTAAAGAGATGAAAAAAAAACTTCGGGAACGTCCATGACGCTTCAGCTTTACCTTTGGAGAGGATTATGTCGAATTTGATTTTATCTGCATCCGCAAACGTGTGCACTAAACTAGATGCCCATCTTCGTACTTTGACAGCACTTTCCAGATAAGCATATATTTTAACATTCTGCAAAAAGCAACATTAACCGCGACAGGATAGCTAGACTTCTCTACCTTTGGCCGGCATCCGTTATGTGCGGTATACTTAACAACTCCTTGAACTTTTTTAGTCAATAAAAAATCTGAAAACAGCACGTCAAAATTAGCTAAGCTCTTCGTAAACAAAAAGTCACGAAAAATATGAACAGCAACTGGATATGCTCTTGAAATTATAAATGCGATTTGTGTAAGGCCTCGTTGCGTGAACTCTGCCCAAGGCCTTACATAAATCGCATTTAATCGTCGCGATTCATCGCGACAAACAACTGCAACAATATCATTGCATGCCGATTTTGGTGGGAACCAAGTGTCGTAGACGATAGTGGTGTCGATAATAATTTATCCACAGACGAACCCCGATGTTGAACCGGGGGGAGCAACCTATAATACAATCGGGGGCTCCTTATATAGGTAGTAAGGCGGAGCTGACCCGTGCACAATCGGAATGTCCAGGAATTATATGCAAGAAAGAGGATGCCGCGGCTTGGCGCGGCCCCTGGAAGATAGGTGCCACTCACTGATGAGTGATTCGGCACTTAAATATAAGCGATTGGGGAATATAGCCTATGGGGAATACCCGTAAGCTATTAGGATTATAGAATTGTGAGGTTGATGATACATAAATCACCAACACTCTGGGCGAGCAAGGAGGAGGCAAAATCTGTTGAAATGTAAATCAATAAATACAATCAAACCTCCTAAAAGCATTTGTACTTAGAAAGAGATATAGCTGTGCTCACGAGTGTAAGCTATTAGATTGGTTGTCGAGGTTGATGATACATAAATCATCAACACTCCGGGCGAGCAAGCAAGAAGTTAATCTGGTAAGCACAAAATATAACCAAAGTATAGATTTGTATAGACTTATACATACTTATGGGAGCTACAGACAGAAGAGAATTTACGGTAGACAATTGTAGTGGTTGGTGGTTGCTGTTCCGTGGTGTAGCTTCGCCTTTCGTCGTCGTCTCTTTTTCCTCGTCGGTTCTGCCCTCGTCCATTTTGAGTTGATAGAATCGTTATCGGTGATTGTCTTCGTGATGGCCGTGGTGTCCGTCATCAGATGTCTGTGATGTGTGATCTTTGGCATGTCCGTCATCTTTATGTTAATTTGTGACGTCGGTCGAAGTGTTCTGGCAAGAGTTCCATTCGCACTCCTCGTGTTGGAGCTGGAATTAGAGCCTAATATGCAGCCAACTTTGGCCAGCCAGCGTTGTCTGTCTTCCTTAGCTTTGCGGTTGAAAGCAGCTGTCCGCCTTTTCCTCTTTTCCGGTAACAACTTCGTTGCTTTTTGAGATGTTACTTCAGCATGCGCTTGGAGAATTTTCCTGTTGATTGCATGTGTAGTGCTTTCGTTGAAATTGGTGCCCGTTTTCTTCGTCGTCAGCCATTTGACGTGTCGTTGAGGGTGAGGGGCAGATTTGGAATGTTTCTGCATCGTTGATGTACAACCAAAGGTGTCGACGATCTCTGTGCTCACGTTGGCACGGCTTCTACCGGATATGGCATATCCAAAGATGGTTGGGGTTAAGATGAGCCCCGAGGGAAGCTTGAGCACTGTTTCGGTGTGAACAGTGAGGAAGTTAAGAAGATCTTGTCCAATAAGGAGATCGGGTGAGACGATCTTATGGGTGAGCGTATCTTGAGCTATTGTCAAGTTTCTGGTGGAAATGAAGCGGACATCTGCATCTGTGAGATGTGCTGTATGTAGTTTGGCAGTCAACTTCTCTTTCGTGTGCACTGATATCTTCTTCAGCTTCTTCGCGTTGTGAAGGCTTTTCAAAGTAATTTGTACTTCACTGGAACTGAATGTCTCTTTTAATTCTCCCATTCCTGACGCGGTGAATGACGTCGTTTGGATGACTGGCAGCTTAAGCTCTTTACTGAGTTTTGATTTGATGAAGCTTCGCTGGGCGCCAGAGTCAATCAGTATTGTTATGGGTTGATAATCCCAATCTGCCTCGTTGAATATCATTGCTGAAGCCGTTTGAAGTACGCTTTGGCACATGAGTGGCAGTTTGCTTGAGCTGTAGACTTCTTGTCCATTTCGCTGAGTTTGTGCAACGTGTACTTCACTTGCTTTGCGATTATCGAAGTTGGTTCTTTGCAGTATCTTGGAGACCTTCAAATGATGACTGTAGCTAGTAGGAAAGTGAGACTGCTCGAGATATCCTTTCTCTTCTTCCCATTTCGGACCGTCATGACTTGTGTCCTGATGGTTGCTTGTTTGAAGGGTACTCGAAATGAGTGTCTCCATCGTTAACGCAGTCGTTTCCCGCAGAGAGATGATGTCGTCAATCGTGTCTAGGATCCTAAAAACATCGAATTGATCTCCACTTGCGGCTTCCTTCTGTATGACGGTTGCGCAGATGTCTTCAGGAAATTTGGACAGAATCATTCTGCGCCAAATTCTGTCTGCGCTCATCTTCATTCCAGTTTGTTTCAAGTGGATGATCCGTGAATTGATTGCTTCGAACGTTTCTCGGCAACTTTCGGGGCTGTAATTTGCTCCTTGAAGTCGTTCGATTTCGTTGATGAGTGTGTCTGCCATGTTGGCAGAGCGATCGAAGTGTTTCTTTAGAATGTTGACGGCTGTCTGATACTTGTCTCCGACAACAGGGATGCAGTTCAAAGCAGCAGCTGCTTTTCCTTTGAGAGCTTGCTTCAGAAAAAGGAATTTGTCGCCATCTGATAAGTCTTCATCGCAGTGAATCAGTGATTCGAACACTGTCCAAAAACTGTTGAACTCTCTGAAGTTGCCAGAGAATGTAGGAACCTCTAGGAGCGGTTTTCGGATCCTAATCTGGCGTTCACTTCGTTCCGTTATTGAGCCTCTTCCTATCTCGCTGTCTGGCTGACTCGGAATACTAGGAGCAGGCGTATGCAAAAGTGTCGTTTGCTCCCTCAGTTCATGTTGTCTGAACTGTATTTTGTTTTGCCATTGAACTGCTATCACTTCCAGATCGAGTGCTTCCAGCTCCAAATGCTTGCTAAATTCAACCATCAGCTGCTCTCGTTCCTTTTCTTCACTGCGTGCACTGATGTACTCAATGGCAGCGTTGAGCTGTGTTTCTTGCAATTTCACAGCGTTTTGCAAAGAATTGAGGAGATTTGTTATTACTCCTGCCTTTTCTTTGATATATTCTTCACATTCTGCTTTTGTTGTTGGAAAGGTGAAGGGGACGTCTACGTTCTCCACTTCGGACTCGTAGGATTTTACGAGCTTGCAAGCGTTGTTGATTTTGTGTTTGAAGAGTTGAAGAGCGGCCATTTTTGCTATACCGACTTCTATTTTCTTCTCTTTCTTAGAAAGCTGGTTGCTTCGAAGGTACAAGTTAGCGAGGTTTCGTTGACTTATAGACGTATCTTCTGGTGATCCGTTGAGTAGAGGCAGCTGTGGTGCTGGTCTCTGAGTTGCAAGCGTGCCGGGGTGGCTTGAACGCTGTGCTGACGGTAAGGTGGCTTGGACCTTGACCAGATAAGGATTGGGTTCCAATCCTCTTAAGTCAAGAGTTCTTGGTCGAACTTTGACTTTTGGCAAAATGAGCGCTTGCGACTCAAGTTACCTTCCTTTTAAATCTCAATGTACTAATCTCCGGTCCTTGGATAGGATTCGCGAGAGATCAATGAGATTGATTGGAAATTTGCACCCACAAAAATTTGTTCCGCTCTCTGGATCACTTACGAAAAGGATTCACAGAAAGTTTCACGCTCTTATGTGGTTATGTGCTGCACTCACAAAATTTGTTCCGCTCTCTGGATCGCTTACGAAAAGGATACACAGAAAGTTTCACGTATTAATGTGATTATGTGCTCCACTTGACTACTCTTTCACTTTCTGGATCACTTACGAAAAGGATGCACAGAAAGTTTCCAAGTTGTCTGTGGTTGTGTGGTAACACAGATTCTTTCCCACTCTCTGGTTCGCTTACGAAAAGGATGCACAGAGAGGTTTCAAGAATAGTTCACACGACCGACTGATTTCTCCTACACCTCTCTGGATCACTTACGAAAAGGATGCACAGAGATTTTCAGATAGTCAGTGGTATTCCTTCCGATTTCTCTTACACCTCTTTGGATCGCTTACGAAAAGGATACACAAAGATTTTCAGATAGTCGGTTGGTTCTTCTTCCTGCCACGCGGGTCTTGTGGCCTCGATTCCTCCGGTTGCAGATGGAATACGAGGTGGTTTCACTGGTCGATGCACCAATTTGGTGGGAACCAAGTGTCGTAGACGATAGTGGTGTCGATAATAATTTATCCACAGACGAACCCCGGTGTTGAACCGGGGGGAGCAACCTATAATACAATCGGGGGCTCCTTATATAGGTAGTAAGGCGGAGCTGACCCGTGCACAATCGGAATGTCCAGGAATTATATGCAAGAAAGAGGATGCCGCGGCTTGGCGCGGCCCCTGGAAGATAGGTGCCACTCACTGATGAGTGATTCGGCACTTAAATATAAGCGATTGGGGAATATAGCCTATGGGGAATACCCGTAAGCTATTAGGATTATAGAATTGTGAGGTTGATGATACATAAATCATCAACACCGATCTTCTTGCATTTCGGTTGTGATAGTTTTCCATCACGACTAACCGTCTAACTATCACAAGCGCGATACAAAAAGGTGCCATACAATGAACTCGTAACACTTGTCTTGTCGGCATGCAATGATTGTTACAGTTGTCTTGCCGCGATATGACTCGCGACGATGAAATCGCGTGAACTCTGTCCTAGGCCTAAGACGTATAGCTGTTTTGATATGAATGTCACACCTGCAGCGGCTGAATCATTACGGTCACCTCGCTCAAAGTTTGCGCCGACTTCGTGCACGTACTCTTTAGGCATTTTGCTGAGAAGTAGGAAAATGCCAAGAGGATACATTCGCGAACGCATCGCAAGGCTCAAGCGGCGAGACCGAGAGGTTCGCCGCTAGAACAGTGACACTCAAACTGAGACAACCTACATGGATGCGGGACACATCAATCAAGCTTTTGTATATCATCTATTATGAATCAAAATCGCGAAGAACTCACTCAAAGGCTCCGTCTTTATAACTAATGCCAATGCGATTGGACCACCGACTTTGCAGTGATGGCATTCCGCTGGGTAATCCATTACAGGTGTCTAAACTATCCAAATGACTCATAGAAAATCTTATGGATGTATAGGACCGTGCAGAACTGTCGTATTATTTTCCACGCGTAAGACTGCTTGAGAGTGCTACTGATGTGTGTATCAAGACAATGAAAAACTAGAGCATATCAGAATTTTCTCAAGCGGCCGCATTTCAAAATGAAAGAAGCTCTCAACAAAAAGCAAAGATGAAAAAGTTGGTATGTCGAATCCGAAACCAACCCCGATGGGTGAGGAAAAATCTTGCAGAAGGTTCCCAGCCACAAAGGGAACTTCTAACGAGATCCTGCCGCTCCTTGGATTGCAAACATTCAATGAATGAGACGAAGGAGTTGGAGAAGTGCTCGAAAGAATCGCAGGTTGTTTCGATGCCTTCTTACCCGTAAGATTCCCAACCTGAAATGATGGTAACAAAACACTATAAGGCTGTTGAGGCACTTTACTGACATTATTATGAGTGCCTGCATCCTTATAAAATCTGCCACCATTCACCGTCGGGCTAATAGCACCGTTGAGATGTGAGATATTCGCATCGCTCCGCGTTTTTCTCTAAAAAAGCAATAAATCCTTTTCTGATCAAAAATGTGGGCGGATACACCATGTCTACACACATTAAAGGCTGAAGCAAGTTCAAGAAATCCGTCACTAGCTTTTTAACTTACAGGAGGTTATGGCGAGAAACACGATGACCCTTTTTGTACCTCTAAGTGACTTCCCGCAGCACTCACCTGAACCAGTGGCGACTCCTTTCGCGTAACATTCAGCGACCGTCCATTCAATGGCGAACTACCTCCAGGCTTTTGTAAATTGAGGTGCCCAGACGGTGATGGCCGCGGATCAGTGCTCTGAAGAGGATGTACATTAGTTGTAGACAGCGAAGTTGGGTATTTACTCATTTATATATGGCTGCACCAAAAAGAAAAACCAAAAAACATATAGTACTAATTTCTTTCTCTAATGGCGCCTACTTCTTCCTAAAATAAGCCCAATTTGGTACTGCACGCGCACTTTTTGTGAAAATGGGTGGTTTTAACTGAAAAAATTACAAAAAGTAGCTAGCACGGCAACTTTGACAGCTTTCCTACACACTTTGCCAGAGCCGAACGCCACATGGGTTGTACTATCAAAAAGCCCAGTCTCCCACCTTTATCACCTAAGGTCAATGGCAGCGGATCGGCAAAATGGACTCCTCTCGGATTTGGTGGTATTGGGTAATAGACCCGCAAGTACACTGCAGTCTCAACCTCATCTGCCCGTGCAAACGCTAAGTCATGCAAAATGCGCCCCAATTCCTCCGGCCCCGTCCAATGGAAGTGGGCGCGGTTGGTGGTTTTGAAGCGCATTTTTCAGGAGTTCGCGCATGAACTGGGAAAGCTTGGGCTACAGTGTACTTGGGGGGGGGGGAGGTCTATTACCACACCAACAAAATCCAAGAGGGTCTTGCCGACACACTGCCTTTGAAGGCACCTCCACCCTAAGCTGGGGTCTTAAGCTTTTGGCACCTTACGATAGTAGGACCCCTTATCAAGTCAGTGCCCAAGTCGCAATTCATAATGTCGCTTCCGAAGCGAGAATATAATAGCTTCGAAATAGCGAAGATGCAAGAGGACCTCTGGCATTACTGGAGAGTCGGCACCGCCCCCCCCCCCCCCCAGTAGTGCCCGACTATCCGTGCGCTTCCAGCCAAACACCGTTCCGGAGAAGTTGCCTACGGATTTTCTGAAACGGGAATTATCGGGGTTGTCGAGATTCGAGTTCATATTCGGAATCAAGGATGAGAAGGCCCGGAAGGACCAAAACATGGATGTCTTAAATCTAGGTGGACGATGCCTTCAAGGTTAGGATGATTTCCATTGCTGATCGCGGAAAAAAGCGGTAAAAACCTAGTTTTCTTTTTAATGAATATTTCCCTATACCTAAACTAGTTAGACTCGAACGGTTCAATAATCAGAAAATTGGGAAACTAAGGCTTTCAAAACATATACAGTCAAACTCAAAGAAAAATTAAGTCTTTAACAATTATTAGGGTGATTACTAACCATAATCGCATTGAGTTGACCTTCCAAAACCCGGATAAGATTGCTCTGACGAGTGACGACGCCTTCCATCTCGAAAAGTTTCCGATTACTCTTTGCCAGTTCGCTGGATAACCTAGTCATTTCTGCAAATAAACACTACACTTTTTGAGAAAGCCGTTCCACCATTGACCATGCAGGACATATTCAAGAACTTTCTATATGCCAACTATCTACAAAAGGAGTTTCTGACTCCACGCTGATGAACTGCTAACCTTTCTGCTGCGCTGAGCATGTTCGTCGAAGCTTTGTAGCCACTGATTCCATCTCTTCAACCTTCTTTTTGAGGGACTGAGCTTGGAACCTTATATCTTTACATGCAGGCGAGGAGCAACGCTCACTGAGGTGTAGCCGAATGACCTAAAAATGATGTTCAAGAAAAGAGTATAGGGTTTGCTCAAATGTCTCAAACTTGAAGGGGAATAAGAAGGGGGACGGGACTCCAAAAGTGAAGTGGCTGCCAAACATTTCGCGATCACTCAACTATCGATCAGAGTGAATTAAGATGGCCCTATACTACATACTATTGAGATCGCAGAAGTACTTTTTTCTGTATTATTCTTTTCGAACACTTTTTTAGAAAAATTGGGACCGACGTTAAAGGCAGCGTCCAGGCAAAATTTCGAATGGAATTTTTTTCGTTTACCTGGGCTTATTCCTCCCGCTGATTCTGTGCTTGGAGGGCACGAAAATGCCGAAAACAGGCTTTCCAGAAGCTCTTGATTTGAATTTTTACGCCTGCCGCCAAGGTTAAGACGCAGAATCTTTGTGGGACCCTACATCTTGACTGTGCGCGGTATGCGCACCCTGGCTTATCGAACTAACTCGTCCCGGTCGCCGAGGCGTTCCGGTCGCCACTTCTGAAGCGGATTTCTCGCTTCAGAAAATTCAGAAAAGAAAAAAACTTCAGAAAAGCAAATTGATGCATGGCCAGTTGGGCAAGAGCCTTCCCAGGACGGGCGCCCCTGTACTCTACATTTTCGTATCTGCCCGGACGCTGCCTTTGAGATAATGATTGTCTTCTGTAGACTTTTTCGGGAACTACTGAGCATGATGAAGTTGGTTCGAATTATGATTTTAGCACTTGGTTACCTGTAGTAAAAGCCTTGATACTGTGGAACGGCTGTTGATGGCGGCCTATAAAGAAAAACATTATACAGAATTCTGGCAGTTGAATAAGGCAAGAAAAGCAGTTCAAAAATACGCATCCACAATTCTTCGAACTCTATCCTACGACGAGATTTAGACCCACTACTTGAATCAAACTTGTGAAATGTAACGTCAGTACAGGCAGCGCAATTTGATCCGCTTTATGCATTTCGCTATTGGTCAGTTCACTGATCTAACCAATAGCGAAGTGAATGCAGTGGATCAATTTCCAAGCTGAAATAGATGCAAACAAAGTACGCTGTTTTGGAAATTTAAGGGAGGCGCTATACTCCTCGAGGAGTATAGCTGGCGACGATCGATACGCATCGAATACGTGTAAAACCGGCGATTTTTCCCGCTAATATTGGCGATCGCCAATCGCTACGACTGGCGATCGCCTGTCGCCGATATTAGCAACTTGCGATCGCCAATCGCTAATATCGGCGACTGTATTTTACATACCTATTGATCTCAAACAAGTTACCACACGTCAAATCGATACATATCAAACGTGTAGTCGCCGGAAACTGGCGATCGCCAATCGCTAGGACTGGCGACCGCCAATCGCCAATGTTGGCGACTCCACGCGTTGGATGCGTATCGGAAGGACATGTGGTAACTTGTTAGCGATCAATACTCATGAAAGACATAATCGCCGATACTGGCGATTTGCGATCGCCAGTTGTAGCGATTGGCGATCGTCAATTGCGAATACACGTTGGATGGGTATTGATTGGACATGTAAACTCATGCCAGCAATCGATAGCCATCTAATGTGCAGTCGCCAACTTTGGCGACTGGTGATTGGCGATCGCCCGTCGCCATGCTATACTCCTCGAGGGGTGCGCCCGCCTCATGCCCACTATTGCGCAACCTAAGCAGCTTGGGAAGTCGTGGGCTATACAAAAACAATTCATAGAGAGATTATCTTCTGCTCTACGGGGCACAGAATACATGTGGCAGATGTTGAACCCCACAGAACTTTAGTTTGATTAAGATGGTGTTAACATGATGTACGACACTATCGTATCCGTTAGATATAGCAAAATCCGACAACCAATTGCACCCGTGCCTTTGTCTAGTCATCATTCAGCGACTTCACCGAGCAAAACCTCGAAGCGCGCTATAGTGTACTGCTTCGAGCACCATGCAGTGCATGATGTACCTAATGAACCCTTGGGGTTACCAGTACAGATGATATCATTTTTTGACAGTTATTTCTCAAAATTTTGCATGGACACTCCAGATTGCCAAATGGTGGCGGTTGTCCGCGTCGCGCATGCAGTTCTCGTGACTGCATTTTTCGCCTTTGCACAACACCCTTTTTCTTCAAATATGCCGACTTTCTGAGATAGAAATGATCAGGCTGAGCATTACGATGACACCTTTAAAAGTTTCAGGGCCTTGGGTCGGGTGCAAAGGTGCAACTGCACTTTTGGTCAAGGTCCTGTTGATAAAGCTACACTTAGGGAGGTTACTGGCGGGACTTCTTCCATAACCTTGCTAACTTTTCAACATTCTCAAAACGAATATCCCCACACTATCTAATTAAGTGCTAACGTTTACGAAATTTTGCAAAATACAGAATAACGCATGCCTCTTTTGGTGGAGGAGATGGTCCTTCGTCAGAATCCAAGCAAATAATCTCATCATCACAAGGAACAGTAACGATGACGGGCTGAAAGATGAAAAGAATATGTAATATGTTACAAAAGCAATTGAATTTCGTTCTTCAAAGTAAGGTAAACAGGCAAATGCTCTTGCAGTATGCCATTTTTCTCAAAACAGTGTAAAGGGACATCGCATAGAGCACATGGTCTCAAGAGAAGCCTCAACGGCCGGGCACACAACACGCAATTTCATCGCATCGCGATTCTCCTGACAAAACAATGTTACGAGTCCATTGCATGCCGATCATGTTGTATTTCAGCTAGCTACTTGCGATTAGTGAGTTGGAAAACTGTCACAACCGAAATGCAAGATGATCAGCATGCAATGAATGCGATGAAATCGCCTGAAAGACCCATACTTCACGCGATTTCTGTCGCGACACGATTCGACAATAATTGAAATCCATAACTCATTGCAAGCAAATTTTAAATGTACAAAAGATGGGGCGCTTTATCAGTTCACGTAAGTTATACACTATACATGAGCGTTTTGCTAGTGTTGGATCTGAAGACTTCTGGCAAAGTGCCAAATCGCGTAGCGACTGAAGTCGCGTGAAGTATGCATGGCCTTTGATGTATGCCTGGCCCATTACTCGCAAACTGAACTGCGAATTTAATGCCGCCTCCAAAACCTGCTAAGACTAGGAGCCCAGCGAAACGAGTAAAATTTCGTTGTTTTTTTTTTGAAAATTTCGGCCACATAGCTACATATGAAAGAAACAGAAATAATAGTACACAATAGTGTGCAATGTGGCACTATATTACCTATATATATGTATATATATATAACCCAATGTGAGTTTGGAGGCTATGTGCCTTATAGAAACGCGGGCCGCTCAACCGATTCAGCTGAAACTTTGCACACATATTTTCCGATGCCTGCGCAGATGATAGGCTACTTTTTTGCGGCGATTCTTGGGTCTTTCTATGGATTTATTGATTTGTTTACGTTTTTCTAAGTAATTAAAGGCTTATCATGCTCAATAAAGCAATTTCCCATAATCATGAAAGGTTGGTGGTGAAGCTCATTTTCACCTCAGGATCACGAGGATGCGGTTTGAAGCGGATGTCCCACGGTAAGTCATCCATAACATATAGGGATGGGGGGGGGGCTTGCAGTGCAGGTGAACGGAACAAAGCCCGGGTTGGACCGGGAAAGCCAACTAGTTGTGTACAAAATCAATTTAGTAAAAGAGGTATCCTAGCTCCGCTTCGTTCCTGCTCTTAGATGGAGTGTAACTCCGTGCTCTTCCCGGAACTCCTCGGTAAGGGAGGAGAGTTCGTGATATTGTAATACTAGCTGCGGTCCCCGGTCTCGCCCGGGTCGAGGATCCAAAGTGGCCCGGCAATGGGTCTACTCCAAAATGTCTTATGCTTACCATTCCTCTATTTCCTTTAACATGCATTTTCTCTTCATTTTCTCTTCCGCTTCAGCTCCGATGTTCGAAGTGAAGCGCTCCCGTAGCATCCGTGGTGAAATTGCTTTCCTTCTTGACCGGCTGCTTCGTGACACCGCGTCCTCCTCACCGCAAAATGTAAATGATATCTACCGCCCCCTACTACTTAGCTTGGAGAAATGATAAATATGCCTTCATTCTCCTAGATGTAAGTAAACAAATCAATAAATCGAAAGAAGGAGCTATCTTCTGCGCCATGTCTCATTTATAAGGGAACAGATTTCAACCTCCTGGGTTTACATACAAAGAAGTCTATAAGCCACAAACGTCCTTACAAACGAAGGTACAGTGCTTGAGTTTTAAGCCTATCTTCTGCGCCATGTCTCATTTATAAGGGAACAGATTTCAACCTCCTGGGTTCACATACAAAGAAGTCTATAAGCCACAGACGTCCTTACAAACAAAGGTACAGTGCTTGAGTTTTATATATAAATATATATACATATATATATGTATACGATTTTTTTGAGTTTTCAAAATTTGTTCAGGCAAGATGTTCTTTGTCTCACTCACCTCAACCTTCATCTCAGGACTTCCGGATGTGATGTCATTGTCAATGTCGCCGACAGCAGTAGAGGTAAGCATGAAGAAATACTGTGAGCCCTGTCAAAGAATCCTGTAAATGAAAACATAACTGAGCGTTTAGACTGTTGGACTATGTGTGAAAGGGACGCAACGCGACTGAATCCCTTGCGGATCCGGACATGCATTCGCTCGAGATCGGTATGTGGTTTGTCGATTTGTCAGATGTCTTCAAACACACACACCATGCGCGAACTCCAAATGCATACTAGTAGCTTATATAAATTCTGCAGGTAGACGACGCATGAGGTCTTCTGTTTTACGACAAGTTAAAAGGGTTGGAACATTGCCAACGTCAGGTTGATCAAGACCCAAAACGAATTTGCGATGAGATTGGCTCACTAAAAAGTAACACAGACACAAGCATATGTGTTAGTGAAAAAGCAACCGGTATGAATTCGAATTTCGAATCCGATAAATTGTGCCCAGTGAGATATTCAAAAAGTGCTTTTAAAATCCAAAACATCTCAACAATAACAAAAGTGCTTCACGCAACTTTTGTCAAAGTTCCGCATATGAACCACAACAACACAAAGTACCGCATATGAACCGCAACAAAATATCACAATATTGCACGATTTGAAAAAAAATTGGCCTGTGGAACTCGTCCACGTGCGGGTGGGAGCGCAGAGATTGCAGAACCGCCCCTTTGCAATCAATACTGCAATCAATACAAGAAAGTACTTGCTTGACGTGTTCATAGTGATCCGTCCACTGCGGAAAAAGTGTGCACGATGAGAGAGACAATTAGCACCCTATCTGCTCTGATTTATTATCATACTGATTTTTGGCATGCCGGCTGCTCTATACTAAAAAAAAAAAATGCAGATTCTGGACACAACCCCAGCGCGAAAATCGCGTGCAAATATTGATCTGTTGAAGTAGAACCACCAAGTGTGGGCCAGTAGACAACCAAAAGTGCAACAGGGAGAGGTGACTTCGTCCCTCATCGATCAATACTTATCTGGAACGGCAGACTTATTTTTGCATCACCGCCCTACACAATGACTGCGTATTGATTTTTACTGGTATTGTTTGATCAATACGCATAGAAACAACATGGAGTGGCAACGTGTAATGCACGCTTCAAGGAAAGTCATCAGACAATAATATATAAAAGTTCCCCATGAAGGCCGTGTTAAAACATTTTGTATTATACCGTACTATTGCTTCCCCCCCCCCCTAATTGGGCCTTAAAACACGATTCGAAAGTCGCCGTCCCCTCTCCTACGCCATGATTGAGCGGAACTCACAGTGAGGTCCGCTGTGCCTGTCCACAAGCTAAAATCGTCGCTCTTTTCCGGAAGAAGCAACGACGACCACAGCCCCAACATAATCAGTGCCCATCCGAGCAAGGATCTGCGTAGACGTTCCCGCTGGGACGACGTGTGCTACAGCTGGAAACAAAGTGCGCTGAGCCAGCAATGCCCATTGATAAATCTGTCAGTTGGCCCTTTCATGGAAAAACTTTCGAAGCTGAACATGCTGAACTCCTTCCGACGGTAAGTGAAAGTAAGGGTGAATGACTTAAATTCCAAAATGCAACTCGACACCGATGCCAATCGCCAATCATCCGCAGGACGTGTATGGAACTAGGATCGCCAACGCTGAAGGTCCCCACTTGCGAAATTAGAAGTGCTGATGACCCAAGGACCTGTGTTTGCTAGGAGTGGACATGCTTTAAAAACTGCGCCTGAGCGTTTTCTCTGCTGTTTGGTGTCGTGGATGCCTCTTCGCCACTTGGCGCCGCGTCGCGGCTGCGTTCGCAAAGGTTTCAAAGGAAGAACTAGGACGTTCAACAAGTGGAAAGCCCACTTTGGTAAAGAAGAATGTCACGTCTTTCTACGAACCAAAGCGGAGGTAGTACCTTTGCCGTAGAACCTCTCGTCAACGCGGATTTGGAACGCCTTTCGCTATGCGAGTACTTTTCTCCGTCGATTATAGGCTATCCGCGCAAGGCGCGGAGAGTGCGCAAGGTATGTACTGCGTGTCACTCCTCTTTCCTCGTGCATTTTCGCCGCCTGTTTCTCTGCGCTTCTTCCAATCGTGAACTGTCTTCAATGTACGCAACAGCAATACTCTCCGTGTGCAGCGCGAACGACCTGTACCTTGGGCCGATCCCATCGTTCCCGTCAACAGGAAGAATGGAGCAGTGCAGCAATCATTGTGCTTACCACTCCACCGAGCTGGACGACGCATTGGAGCTGAGCCAACAACCAATGCCAACCGCGGAAGATTTCCACAAACTGAAGGGAACCACCCCACCACAACCTGCATGATGCCTATATGCAAGTAGAAATGGACGACAAGCGCAAGGAAGTAACAATCATCAACACTCACGCGGACCCACTGCAACCAACTACCGTTTCCATTGAAAAATGCCCCTTCCCCCCCCCCCCCGCGCAATCTTCCAATCTCTGATGATCAACGTTACCGGCTTAAAGGAGCCGTTTAATTGGACTATGGTATGGTCACCAGAAGCACGACTACATTGGTGCGATAGGGTGAGCAAAAGCTCACACCCCTTCACTTTGGAGCCTGAACCCCCTCCCCCCCCTCCGAATTTTTCTTGGGAAAAACTGCATACGAAATTATAATCGAAAGTGGAAAGTTGTGAATATCATTTCGACCGAAAATTACATGGGCAATGGACGCTGGCAGATACTCAGAGGCTTGGAAGGTGCTGATGGACAGTTTTATTTGAACTTAAAAATGTGGATAATGTTAATAAGAGACCTCGCAATGACTATTATTGTTGCAAAAAAAGTTCGTATGTCGGTTTTTATGGGGTATAATGAAAGAATTTGTTGCTTAATTGCGTCCACTTGAAGCAGAATAAACATTTAGAGTGTAGTACAGTGATTAGAATAGTAAAAATGATTTTAGGAAAAATTCCCAGGGCAGTAAAGTTGTTTTTAAGCTGTGCCGATATTGTCGGCACCTCCTTGATTCTATATCACTTCGCCTGTATCCCTTTGATCAAATACCGTGAAGGTCATGCCATAAGCATGACCTGCTGTGATATAAGTCTGTTTACTGCCCAGATGCCTAGAACTTACATAGCCACGCCTATTATCGTTAGCATTCTACCACTGCACCCACGTGTGCACGTCGTCTGTTCAGTAAAGCTTAAATGCTTTTGTGTTCTATATAACACTCTACAAGAGGCGCTATTTCGCCTCAGGCTATTATAAAGCCAAAGAACCACCGATACATTTGGTGCATCGGCCAAATAAGACCGATACGTGCCCTGCTAAAATCGCAGCACGATTCAACGTGAAGAGGATCTCACTCTTCCTCAAATATCAATAACAATGTCCACAAAGGAACTTGCTGAATTACTGCAGAAGTACGCTTGTCAAGGTGAGAACAAAAATTTTCCAGACGATCAAGGGCGCCGAGAACTATGCACTTCACATCTGGATATGCTTACAAAATGCACAGAGGAAGTCAAGGAGAGCATAGAAATGCTACAAACGGATTACGAGATATTGATGGAAAGGCTCGAGGAAGTTAATCAAGAAGCTGCGAAGAAGGCGATGGCGAAGGAATGGGATGCACTTGAAGAACAGATAAGATTTTTCAAAAGCATTACTGACGCTCGTATGTTTGATCTTCTGCAACCACATAACAGATGGTGAGATGGAGCTGAATAGGATTAAATGTAGAAGAATGTTTGCCACAGATAGTAGTAGGAGCGCTCATATACCGCTTGATGATCAAAACGATAATGATGGTAACAATACCGTATCATTGCCGCTGGAAAGTACACAAGGCTCAGATTCACCATCAGAGGTGAGCCACTTCATTGGTATTCCAAAAGAGTTTCTCAATAATGCGACGCAAGAGGTCAATAGTGAATGCAACAATGAAAATGATACCAAAAACTACAAGTCCGAGGTTGAAGACGGTGATGGCAATCTACGAGCTACTGCAGACTGGAGGATGACCTCAGCACAGGTCATTACCCCTGGAATGCTACAGGCAAGCGCAAACAGTGCTGTCACTAAAAGGCAAAAAGTTACAATATTGAGCAAGATTAGCGACGAAAAGAAGTGTGCCTGTAAATCTCTCCATCCCAGTGGCGGACCGAGGGCGGGGGCGGAGGGGGGGGGGCGCCCCCCTTCGAGAATGGGTCGCGAAATTTTTGAAACTTACCGAGGTTGGGGACCCGCAAAAATTTTGAGAAGCACCCTAAAAAATTTTTCGGAGTGCATGGCAACGCCACGCGCCTTCATCTGAAAGATTTTTGTCGCCCCCCCCCCCCCCGGTCCGAAATCCTGCGACCGCCACTGCTCCATTCATATTCACTAGCTTATGATAATCTACGAAAGTAGCATTCTACATCATTCTAGTTCACAGAAGTTTTTCTCTCCATTCCATGGCAGCCGTTCAACTCGCCTGAGTCTCATCTTCAATCGTGTCGCAGTGCAGCAACGACCTCTACGGGATCCAGACAAACGCCGCCGTTTTATAGACGATTGTTGCTGCATGCTTAGATTTGCTATTACTTCCAACATTCCGCTCCTTATTCCATCTGCCGGCGGGAGTGTGCCGATATAGTCGGCACCTCCTTGATTCTATATCACTTCGCCTGTATCTCTTTGATCAAATACCGTGAAGGTCATGCTATAAGCATGACCTGCTGTGATATAAGTCTGTTTACTGCCCAGATGCCTAGTAACTTACATAGCCACGCCTATTATCGTTAGCATTCTACCACTGCACCCACGTGTGCACGTCGTCTGTTCAATAAAGCTTAAATGCTTTCGTGTTCTATATAACACTCTACAAGAGGCGCTATTTCGCCTCAGGCTATTATAAAGCCAAAGAACCACTGATACATAGGCAGTTTTCAACTAGTATGCTTTGAGTAACTTGCAGCAGATCAATTTGCGAAAGTATAGGGGTTGATAAGAAATCTTTCCTTTACGATATGCAAAAAAGTAGACGTTGGAAAGGTTCCATGTTCTCTCTTTTCTAAACCTTGGCATTCGGGAATGAGTTAGTAACTGTTATATGGTATTATGGCAGTACCAGGTTTGTACGGTGGAATTCTATTGGCCTTACGTTTCGATAATTTCGTCTTCGTCGGAGCCTGAAAGTGGATTGCAGTGTTATCTGCGAAACCAGACCGCTAAACGCCTCACTGCACTGCCGCGTCTAGACCTCGTCCC